GTAGAATTCAAGTTGGTTGGTTGAAGTGGAGGAATGCTTCGGGCCTTTTGTGTGATAGAAAAGTACGGCTAAGACTGAAAGGAAAATTTTATAAGATGGTGGTGAGACCTGCAATGCTCTATGGCGCTGAAGGTTGGCCTTTAAAAGCGAAGCATAATAATAAGTTAAGTGTTGCCGAGATGAGAATGATTAGGTGGATGAGTGGCTTTACACTTAGAGACAAAATGCGGAATGAATATATTCGTGATAGGGTTGGTGTAGCTCCTGTGACAGACAAAATTAGAGAAAGTCGTCTTAGATGGTTTGGTCATATTAAACGTCGACCATTAGATGATCCGATTAGAAGAGTAGATGTTTTAGATTCGAGTCATGTTAAGAAAGGCAGAGGTAGACCTAGGAAGACTTGGGCTTATTGTATTAAAAATGATCTTAGTTTATTAGAACTAAATGAAAATATGACACTAAATAGGACACAATGGAGAAAAAGGATTCATGTAGCCGACCCCACGTAGTGGGATTAAGGCTTTTGTTGTTGTTGTATCCTCATTATCGTAGTCATTTGCTTCAAAATAAATCATCAATTTTTTATGTATTAGAGTATTTTGGACTAAACTGTTAGTTTTTTAGTATTACAAACTCTTTCTGTTATTTCGTTTTGATTATTTTGAAAACTACACTTATTTGAATATATTATATATATAAGGAGAAAACAGTCTTTCTCATCAGAAACAACAACAGAAAAATAGATCTCTCAAACAGACATTTGTTTATTTATCAACAGCTTTGTGACAATTCCTGAAAAGCTGCTTCTCCAAGAAGCAGCTTTACAAAAACTACTTGAAAAGTCAACAGCCGCCCCAAACGCACCATAAGGTTCTATTTGGGGTAGCTGCGGTCGTTTGAATAAACAGTCGTAAAGCTGTTGGAGAAGAAACCTAGGTGACTATTAAAAATTTATTTTATTTTAAAAAATCAGCCCGTAGATTTCTAGCAACCACAACATTTTAATAGGTCAGGTTGAAAAACAGTTTTTCTATCACAAAAATTTCTAGAAAGCAACAAGAAAACAATTCCTCTAACTAAGGGGGTCATTTACGTGCATAGCACACAATTCTTCTTTAATTGTATGTCCCCGCCCCAAAAAATAAAAATAAAAATTTTTGCACCCTATGGCTGTGTAAATAATGGCATACTTGATTACTGACCTGTTTGAGCTTATCTTTTATATCTTCAGCTGAAGGTATATGGCATAGGGAATAGAAAGTTTGAAGAAGACATTGTTGAATGGTTGGGCATGTCAAGTTAACTAAAGAGAAGAGCGCGAATATTTCATCATCCGATTTCAGAAATATTAAAGATTCTTCGTCTTCCCAATCCACAGCCGACGAAACAATGTTCATAATTGTAGAGGCTGCTTGTTCGCTTAATATATTTGATGCATTAAAGTGCTGGTGACATAAAAGGTCAATAAGTGGAGATAGTGCACCTTCTCTCATCATCTTCACACCATTTTCAGGTAAGTTTGAAAGACTCTGCAGTGACTTAACAGCCATTGCTCTAATATCTGGATCACTATGTTTAACCAGATAAAGAAGGACGTCGAGTGCGCCATCTCTAAATAGACCAGCTTTACTTTGATCAGGCAGTTCAATTTCAGCTAAGGTTGTCACCATGATCTTTTTCACATCATCATTTCCTAAAAGCATTGAACCAAATATCATAAAATTTTATAGTTAGCTTATCGAAAAGAATATGCGAAAATAGCATGATTTGTCACGTCAAAACTCTAGTTTTGTAGGCACACAAGGACATATTTGAAAAAAATAAAAAATCTAAGGTGAAAAGATCCAAGAAGAAAAAGGAAAATTCACATAAATAGCACTCAATTCTTTTAGACTTACATATCTAAAACCTAAACTTCAATTTTTAGATGTATTATGCAATCTTCTAATTTGGGAGCTCATAACAACAATGAGCAACAAACAAGTAGCACACATCGTTTAGTGACTAGGGTTTACACTATAGATTCCAGTAAAGCACTTAGCTTCCACCTTACTCTACATATGGACAAAACCATGCCTACACTATTGAAAGTGCATCATGTTCTCGAATAATGCTTATCGACTTGATCATGTAGAGCCATCTCCAACAGTTGTTCTAAACAAGTTAGCCATCATAGAACCAATTGCGAGGGTGCAAGTGGGGGTGAGAAAGAGTTGGTCAAGAAGATATAGAGAGAAAGGTATAACAATCGTAACGAAAATGGCCTACCATGCCATTATGAGGATGTGTCACACTAGGTCCTTCTATTGAAACAATTTGTGACAAAGAATAGTGAAAAAAAAGTGGAAATAAAAAACAAAACGTCCAACTTGAAAAGGAAAATGACCCTGGTTTTGTTTGAGAAAGATTAGCAACAGACAGAACAGCCAAGACCTGGTAAAATACATAAAAGTGCATATAATTATCTTTATCATAAGAGAAATAGCTTGAGGGATCAATAGTAACATGTTCATGGAACAATAATATGCTAAGAAAGGATACAAGCACAAATATTTAGGGGCTTGTCTAGAAATATAATGTTAAGTTCCCCTCAAATGATACCGAAATATAGAATTGTATAAATTTTAGTTTGCAGGAGAGAATACAGATAGCCGAGAGGTGAACCAAACCAAAAGGTTCAACGGTTTTCTTAGGAGCCGCTTATGTCCCTACTCACTCATTTTGTATCCATCAATCTAATTTTAGTATAACATGGTCAAGTATAAGTTTAACTCAGGAAAAAAACCACCTAAAATTAAAATACAAACAAACATTCAACTCTTTATCACATTGAAACTTTGAGATCAAGAATCACACTCAAGAATATCAACTGATAAGTTCTGAAGACTAACAGGTTGAACATTTAAGTGGAGTCACAAAGAATAAGACAAAGAACCTGATCTAAGGCGTTGCAATAGCGGCTTAAAATAGTTTGCCTTTGCCATTTTCACAACATTTTCATCAAGATAAGAAAGCTTCTCTAGTAGTTGCATCGCATCAGTTGCAGCTTGATTACCATCATTTGTAGTAGTCACCAAAAGAAAAATGCAGCCCCGTACCCTGCCAATCTTACTGCAAATCATCTCAATACTCGACAGCTCTAGCAAAAGTGCCACGGCCATTTTACGTTCCTCACTACGTCGTCCGAGGGACATTACAATGAATTCAATTAACTTATTGACACCGGCTAGTTGCTCCTGCTGATGATAAAGGAAACCGAATTAATCAAAGGAAATGATGTGTGTTTATACGTAAAATAAAATAATTGAAACAATGCAAAAAATATTTAGTTGTTTAAACCACTAGCCTTTCTACTTTAAAGCTCATAAGGTAACACAACTCATCAAAAAGGCTAACGTCAATTGAAGTACTAATGTAGAAGATATTAGATAGTTAATCTCATCGAATGTCATACAATAATTATAACAGCTCGAACTCTCATCCGCCGAGATATTGTCTATTTTGTCTTGATGTCCTCACAAAGTTGTTTCATTTGTGTATTTTTTTCAAAAGCACACTCATCCTAGGAGTGCTCCCACACAAGCATGTTTTAACATCAGAGTTTCCGATGAAAATTCAACTATTACACCAAAATGTGCCTCGTCGTTAAGGAGTTCAACTTCATTCTATGTAATGGGTTTCACAATCTCCCTCATTTAAGTAAATAACATCCTATTGTGAAAACCCTCAAGTCAAATAAAGTTCAACTCTTAAAATTCAATGTCTTTTGGTGTAAAGGTCGAAATTGCATCGGAACCTCCAAAGCTTAGCGTGCACATGCAGGAGCCTTCTTAGGATGGATGGCCTTCTGAAAAGTTACATAAATTGGACAAAACCATGAGGCCATTAGGCCAAAGCAAACAATATCTTGATAGATAAGCGTTCTGACTATTACAAATAGTATTAGAGTTTTACACCAGTCTGAAAATGGAATATATACCTGATGTATGATTTTAAGTTTAAGAAATTTAATGAGAATATCAGTTACGTAAGTGGGGGAGATCGTGAGATCCCTTAAATAAATCAAAAGAAGTTGAACTCTCAAACATCGAGAAGTCATTTGGTGTAACAATTGGAATTTCATAAGAAACTCCAAAGTTAAGAGTGCTTGTGCGGGAGCACTCCAAGGAGAGCGACCCCTTAGGAAGTTACACCAATGAGACAAAACCGTGATGCCACCTTGATGGATGAGAGTTTGAGTTGTTACAATAACACTCGAATCAACAACGATTCTCCATTGGCAAGATTGAGCATAAAAATAAGCTGCTTTAAAACTATAAATTGACTAACAATCACATACCTTTGTATACTCATTGTCCTTAGCAAGAATATATAAGACAAACAGAGCTCGACACCTGATCTCCAAACTCTTTCTTTCAAGCAACCCAACAAGAACAGGCAGGTAGTTCTCAAAAACAATCCAGTCGCGATGAGAGTCCTCTTTGTATAACTCCTCCAGCCGGCCAAGACAACGGAGCACTTCCTGCTCATCATTAGAGTCAAACTTAGCTTTGAGTTTACCAATAGAGATTATTCTATTTCTTTCTTTCCACTCCTCAATGGATTTCTTCAGAGTATAGTTGGGCCGCAGATCGCCAACACTCATCGGCGTCATGGTCAGAGGACAAGTGCTGTTACCCTCCGCAAACCACTTCTCAATGGCGCTCTTCTCAAAAGTGTGCCCTAAACATGTCTCCACTGGGTCATCCATGACATCCCCGGTAATGGGGCAAATAAAGGCTTGGAGCGGCTGCAACAGCTCATTTCCCAAACGATTCCTTATGCTAAGATACCTCTCCTCCCTCTCCCGAAACGACGAAACCGTATGTGAAATGGAGAGGAAGGAGACAATCCGATCGATCTGCACAGCTTCGGTAATGCCTTTTCTTTCCCTGTTCTCGGCGACCTCTGCCCGCAGCTTGTCAAGCTCTTCTCGAAGAGTCATCGGGTCGTGGGAGACGCCAGCAGCATCAGCTACGAAACTGAGGAGGTGATCAGCATAAGAGCAATCGGAAACCCGGTCGCCTACAGCGGACTCAATCTTGTCCAAGGTCTCCTCGACAGCGGAGGAAGCGCGAAACTCGACGGCGATAAGGCGTTCTCGAATCGCCTCGACCTCATCTAGGCCCGAGGAGGAGAGAGGGAGGAGAGAAAGTGCCTCGCAGATGTCGCGGATGGCGTATGAAAAGCATCGGGAGCTCTGGCGGGAGTTGATGACCAGATATAGTCGACTATGGTGGGAGCTTTCGGAATGGATAGAGGTCGAAGCCTCTGCGGCGGTTACGTCGGCGGCTTCAGAGAGGGCATCAAGCGCGGCGGCGAGGGGGGATACGGAGGCGGAATGAACTTTATCGTCCAGCTCACTAAGGATGTGAAGGGTGCGGCGGAGGCAGGAGGAAATATCGAAGAAGACATGGCGGTCGATGAGGAGGTCGGCGGTGGAGGAGATGGTGTTAGCAGCGCGGCGGATGAGTTTGGCGGCGGCAGCCAAGGAATCGCCGGCGGCCATCGCACCCGAGGCTCCGAACAGTGGTGACTAGATCGCACTTGCTGTCACTTCGGCTCTTGATGTTAATCGAGAAGTCGGTCACGAGTCCCGAGTCACGAGTCAAGTCAATGGCCTTCTTCTCCAGGTGAGCTGATCTCCATTTTCCAAGTCTAGTTGTCTTGGGAAAACTCAATGATCAACTTCCGGAAGAAAAAGACAAAAAAAAGGGTTTTTACAGGAAAAAAATATTATATCAGTACTACACATGTTGGGTCACATGATAACGTCACGATACCTTACACGACAAAGAAAAAATAACGGTGCAATAACACAAGAAATATTTCCCTCCGTGTTATTCATGTGTTATTGTGTATTGTTCATGTGTTATTGTGTCCTAAAAATATTCTAGGTGTTATAATAACACAATAACACATCAATAACACATGAATAACACACAATAACACATGAATAACACGGAGAAAAATATTCCTCGTGTTATTCAAGTGTTATTGTGTGTTATACATGTGTTATTGTATCCTGAGAATATTATTAGTGTTATAATAACACAATAACACATCAATAACACATGAATAACACGCAATAACACATGAATAAAATGGGAGGAATATTCCATGTGTTACCGCCATTTTTTTTTCTCCTGTCGCGCGTATCGCGTATGGCGTGATTTTAATGGCTACGCACGGTATTTTTACGTGCGTAGTACTGATGTAATATTTTTTCCTTTTAGAGACGTACCAATATATTCCTATTTATTTACAAATCTAACACCTAAATTTTATTTTTTATATTTATACAATATTTTAAGTTAAAAACAAAAAATAAAATACATATTATTCCTGTACAATATATAGATGAGATGACATAAAAATAAAAGTGTGGGGGTCTTACAATATTTAAGAAAGATAATTGTAAAATTATCATAAAGAAAATAATTATTTAAAAAATTATTGTGAGAAATATAAATAAATAAATATTTTTTTTCAAAATATTATTCTGATATTTTTCTGACAACCACCACACTTTAGCATATTATATTTAAAAAAAATTCTCATCATAAAAATGGCTAGAAAATAACAAGAAATTAGTTTCCAAATAGAATTTCAAGACTGCCTAAAACTTAAAAGAAAAAAATGTCTTAAACATGCTCTTAGTAGTATAGGAAAATCAACTTCTGCATATATATACCATCATATTCCTATGTATTTACATATCTAACACTTAAATTTTATTTTTGTACATTTCTAACACTCAAATCTTTCATATGAATCACGTCAAATAAAAATATCAGTATTTAAATTTTTGAAAAGTGAATATAAAGTTTTCATGTAAGAAATATAGATAAGATGACTTAAAACTTAAAATCCAAATCTTTCGACCGTAATGAAATAAGGAATATTTAAAATTCGTAATGAAATAAAGTTTACATTGATTTAAATATCTATAAATTTAAATAATGAATCATAGGTATGTTTAACAACCTATATTCATAGATATAGATTGTTAAATTGGAACACTTCAGACCCGGTTAGCTTTCGTCATTTCATGCCGCATTTCTTCACGTAGAATGAAGCTCTCCTAGTGGTAGGAGAGATGCGATGTTTCTGTGATGTTCTGAGGTCTCGCGATGTTCTGAAGAAGCTCCGCACGAAGATGAAGCTCTCCTTTAATGAAAGAAAGTAGGAACATTGCTTCCTTGCTAGCCAAGCTCTTTCTCCTGAAGAAAATCCGCTCACACAATCAAGGAATGGTGGAGGAAAAAGAACTCTTGGTGGAGGATGAAGGGGGAGAGGAAGAAGAACAAGAAGAACAAAAAAGTTGAAGATACTAACCCCTTTAGCCTCCCTCTCTTGCTCCAAGCTCTCAGGTCTCCAAGAGAAGAAGATGATGCTCCAAGCTCCAAGGGAAGAAGAAGGTTTTCAGCTCTAGAAGGAGACCAAAAAAGCTAATGTGAGAAGATTCTCTCAAAATGGGGGAGCTCAAGGGACATAAGTTAAATAGCCCTCATTCCCTCCATTTTTGCCTAAAATAGCCTTGTCGGCTCACCTTGGAAGCTTCCAACAGAGGCTAAAAGAAGTATAATCACGCTCTTTATCTCCCCCCTAAGCAAATCCAACAAAACCAAGGAAATCCTTTCCATTTTAGCTCATTGGGGGTGCACCAGGTCAAATCGGCTTCAAAGATCATGTTCTAGAAGTGGACCGTCGACTAGGCGCCTGACCTCTGGCACCAGCCGCCCAATCTGACGTCTACTTTCCAAAAGCTCGGAAAAATGACCATTTTTTAGCAGTTTTGGGCGCCTAAACGCCAGACTTCCAGGGGCTCGGGTTTAACCATCCGGGAAAGCAATTTGGGCTTTAGGCACTGGTCAGCCCTGAAAAACTCTAATTTACACCGGGAGCGCCTGACGGAGAATTTTCTAGATATGAAAGTCATGGGAGACAACATATAAGTAAATTATGATCCCCTAACCTCAAAATTGAGAATTCACCGTTGAACAGGCTCTTTCAACTTGGTCATTCGTTCTCTTTGAAATTTGTGCTTGAATTTTTGGTGTATACAACCATGATAAGTTGTAGTTTATTAAATGTTCAATTTCAATATCAAAATGAGGAGAAGATTAGAAAAAGGGCAAGTATGCAATTAGTTATAAATCCCTAACTAACAAAATATATAAAAGTATAAGAAAATACACTATAAAAAAAAAGAAAAAGAAAAATAAAGAAGCCCTAATCATAATCATGAATCTTTATGCTCAATTTCTAATTATGAAAAGCTCGCTCTCCAATAACACATAGCACCTTTATGCCTCCTCTCCCTCAACTATTGTGGAAGCGGTAAAAATTACTAGTAACACAATCTTTCCACCACCCTCACTCTACTATAAATCAATGGATAATAACATACTAAACACTCAAAATATTGTTATTTATAAAACTAACACCATGGTACTTTTTTGAACAACCAATCGATGTTTTTTCACATGCCACAATCAAACCATTGAGAATAAGATTGAGATGAAAAACATGGATAAGGTTTTTATCATGAATTTTCATATTTGAGCGAGCATTTAAAAATAAATGAAAGAGCGCTAGATTTGCAAAAAGCAATGTTTTGAGTGATATGTAATTGCCCCTAAAATCAATTGACACTAAACCCTTTTGATGAAGTACGTCGATAAATTCTCATCGGAATGAGGGCAACTTGAAGAGATGCTCAAATATAGGTTCTTTGATTTCATGACTTATAAAGAGCTCCAAAACATGATTCTCTCATCAATCTTAATGAATGTGCATATTGCATTTGTCGGCTCATTATAAGAAAATAAGGATTTTTTTCCCTCTACGAAAGCTCATTATAAGAGTTCAATAACCTCATGTTCAAGCTTTCTACAACGAGTCTTTTAGTACCAATGCTCCACATTAGGCATGTCAAATAACTATGTAAGGCCAAAAAGGGCCTCAATGAAAGCACCCAAAACTTTAGTGTAATCAACTTGAAAAGATAGATATGGGTGAAACATCAAAACTATGAATTCATATCCTACATGGAAAGTGATTATATGTGAATATAATAGCTTATGGAAGGTAGCCATATTGTTCTAAGAGACAAAATAAGAATGTTACATAAATAAAGTGTTCAAATATGAAACAAAACTTATAATTAGACTACATATGACAATGATCCAACACCTCAAACTCCCCCAAAGGAATTCATGGAGATTTAACTCTTAAAGGGTTGGATAAATAGAAAATGAAATTAGAGTTGGCAACTCTTACATAAAAATGCTAAAAAAAATGAGTAAGTTTGTCAAGAAGGTTCCCCAGCTTCAAGGCACACAACACCTCTACAAACCTTTAGATTTGGTTTTCAACTTACTTTTTTTATTAGAGTGGATCGCAAGATCCATTGACACATACAAAAGCAACTAAAACATTAAAGATCCATCTAAAAAGCCTAACTTTCTTGTAGATGCAAAAAACTAAAGAAGATAACAAATAAAATCCTAATTTGCATATATATCAATAACATGGCAATGAGCTTTAATGATTAGCTACAAATGCATCAAATTTGAGACAGATATAAACAAATTAACCTTTTAAAAAAAAGAGTCATTTGCATTCATACAACACAATTCTTATGTATTTCCATACCTAACAACTAAATATTCATGTCTACAAGAATACAACTCGAATCTTTAACATCACATCAAAAATAACACTATCACTATATTTTTAAAAGTGAAATAATCTTTTCATGCATAGGTTTATGACACCAAGGAGTTATAATTGTAAATATCTAAATTTGGGTTTTATATATGTAAATGCATAAGCATTGTGTGGTATGCAAGTAAACTTCTCTTAAAAAAATTATAAATAGACCCTAATTTCATTCATCGAAAAAAACTTTTTTACAAGTTTGAAGCCCTAAAGAATGAATTAAGCCTCCGCTAGAGTTCATGATGGTAAGAACCTACCACATATGACGCCATCGTCTCCCTCCATCA